CTTATTATTCTCTGGCGTCGACGTTTTATATGATTTTGTATTCTAATTGAAAGCGAATATAAAATAAAAGATGACTGTGAGATGCTGGAAGGAATGTTCCACATCCTGGGATTCAGCGTGAGACATGATAAGAGACCTGGGTTCTCTGAGAACTCACACCGACAGAGGCACCATTCACTGAGACGAATTCCAGAGCATCTGTTAAATTACGTTGGCTTAAACGACATTGTTTCTTACAATGATACAGTTTAAAACCAGTATTCCACAGTAATTGTCAGCTCCACGCCAGACTCAACCTGATCACATCCAACCCGTAGATAAAGGGCCTTAAAAGCAGATGTTTCCCCACATTACCTCTTCCCCAAAATATTAACTTTTGCTCCTGGCTTATGGACTGGGCCCCGTTTCACAAAGCGATCTTAGCGCTAAGGTGATCATATTATAACTCCTATATCCTAACATAGACTTACGACCGTCTTATTGCTAAGACCGCTTTGTGAAACGGGATCCTGGGGGCCAGTTGTACAAAGCGATCTTAGCGCTAAGGTGATCATATCATAATTCCCATATCCTAACATAGACTTACGACCGTCGTAGTGCTAAGACCGCTTTGTGAAACGTGATCCTTGGGGCCAGTTGTACAAGGTGATATTAGCGCTAAGGTAATCGTAACTCCAATTCCTTAACACAGACTAACGACAGTCGTAACGCTAAGGTTGTTTTGTACAGCGCCATCCTGGTCAATAGAATCGATATTCGTCACACACGACGCCTTTATAACAAGATATATGATATAATAACAATTATGTATATAGTATTACCAACAGCAAAAACCCTTAGAAAGACTAAGAGAATATACTAGTCTGAAAACAGTCCAATAATCTATGATCCAGATAAAGCAGATTATTGTTCTACATAATATTTTACCGAAAACATTTCTTACCAATGTTCCTTCAGAGCCTGGAACGACCCATTTCAAGGTAATGCCAAACATTATGTCAAATCTCGAATATCATCTGCCTATTGGCATTTCAAACACAAGTTCCTAATATTTGTCTCTTTTTTTTTCGCTCTTTTTGCTTTTAATATTTCCACGCCGTGTACTTTATTCATATAACAACAGGGAAATGAGAGCCCATGGCAATGCACTGCTGACGTCTCTAATTTGATACATGGACAACAGACTTCTAGATGAAGAAAATAACTTTGCTGGTATTAAACTGTGTCATGTTTTTGTTCCGCAGCAGGATCAAGACACTGTTCAGAGCCTCGTTCGCCGAAGTCATAGCGCTGAGATCGGCGTGTCTCATAGAACTTAACTTAGCCCTGATATAGCCGCAGTGCTAACATCGCTACGAGTAATATGAAACGAGCAGCAATGCAGACAGTTCACACGACAAAGCAGGGCTAATACCTATAAATATGGAATACGTTGAAAACGACATTGCGATAGTTTTTAGAGTTAAACAATATATAATTTAAATGAAAAGAGCGTTACTTTTGATTTGCAACGGTATAATTTACCATAACTTACAGATTAACCTATTTCTGAATAAAACATGTATTCATAAAATCATTTTTTGAAGAAAGATATACCGGAGCTTCATGATCATGTGAACACAACACTGTCTCATTTGTGTGCCCATCTTTATAGTGGGGAGCGGGGGCGTGGCTGGTGCAATTCTCCTATACACCACAATACGTTGTGCTATTGGCGTGACAGAAACCTGATTTTGAATTCCAATCCCTTAATTCGCCCTAATTATTTTTCCCGATTTGTCTGCACCATACCTATACGCGCATTTGCGTATTTCTGGAAGTAAACATCTAAGACCTGCATGACTTCAGGCTTACCATCCATAACAGACACACCGTGATATAACTGAAATATCGTTCAAAGCGGCATCAAACCAAATGCATATGGCAAGTATGGATGTCGCCATTACCCGTTCCAACAGACGGGTCCCAACTGTGGGTACCGCCTCTGTGGTCTAGAGGTAGAGCGTCCGCCCGGAGAGCGGAAGGTAGGGGTTCGATCCCCCGCCACGTCATACCAAAAGACGTTAAAAGATGGTACTTGTTGTTACCCTGTCTGGCGCTCGGCATTAAGGGGCTAAAATAAGGACTTGTCGTCTCGGAGTCAGTATACTGTGTCTGAGTGGGGTATTCATGTTAAACTGCGGCATGGTATCTCAGTGGGCTAGCACTATAAATCGGCGTAGTACACACATACACACACACACGTGCATGCACGTCGCTATATAAGTGCAATAATCTTGGACGCGACGTTAAACCCAATTTCACCTCACCTCACCTCACCTCACCTCACCTCACCTGTAGGGCAGGACCTTCTTACTCTTTTCGCGAACACCATTCATATAATGTTCAACGCTTTTTTCCTCCTTTTACACCCAGTGGAATCGGTTTCGGCAGATCATGAAAACTGTTGTTCTTGTGCGTTGATGTTCTCTTTTTGCACACGGTCATGACGAAGATACAACTTTTTACATACCCTCTACAGGATTTTGTTTGTTTGTTTGTGTTTTAACGCCGCACTCAATATTCCAGCTATATGACGGCGGTCTGTAAAATAATCGCGTCTGGACCAGACCCAAGTATGGGTTGTTGAAGACCTATTCTACTCCGGAATCTTCACGGGTCCCCTTTAAAGGAAAAATATATAGTTCTATATATCAGACCTTTCATATTCAGTATCACCACTTTTTGATAGTGGTTCAAAACATAAACAGGGGGCACGGGTGGCCCAGTCGTCTAAGGCGCCGCGATTCGCTGTGCAGAGTTGCGTCCCTTAGGCGCGCCAGAAACCTAAGATTGTGGGTTCGAATCCCGGTTCGCCCCGATTATGTTTCTAGGTTTGTCAGCACCATACCCGTGGTCGTGGGTTTCACCGAAGTGGTAAACGTCTGAGACCTGCATCACTTTGGGCTTTCCTCCCACATTAAGCTGACACGCCGTGATATGACTGGAATACTGTTAAAAAAGCGGCGTTAAACCCAACTCACTCACTCACTCACTCAAAACATAAACACATGCTAATGATCTAGTCGAAATCATACAATAGACTCAGCTTTTAGAAGGCATATCTTTTGATTATGGATGATTTGTCGCTTTTATTGTAACATGTGAATTCATCTGAGAGCAAGAATACTGAATATTTCAGACTCTGGAATTACTTGAATCGGTAGCAAATTTGTTTTCATAAAACCTGCAACTCCGTTGATTACATCGCGCTATTCACGCCATGATGAGAATACTGATGAGTCGACTTGTCCGATACGGCCTTGGTACATCTGTCATGACTTTCAATTGCAAAATACACGTGTTAAAGACATCTTTATTCCCCTTTCTGGTTCACAGACATTGGAATTATTCCATGGTGTCTTCCTTCACTAAGTAAACGTCCGTCCAGTGATAATCTGGGGGATTGCAATGTGACGTATTCATGATCCCCATGGAAGTTGGTGATCCATCATTTGCTCAATGTCGACAGAGAGTGATGATTTACACTTCAATTAGATGTTTAAAAGATGAACAGCCATCTACGTTGTTGGCTTCCAGACTCGGAGGCTGTATCGGTGAAGGATATGACTTTGATTGATATAAACGGGAGAGGTTATCCGTTGAGCGGACGCTTCAAGTTGTCTGTCGGTTATCATGAAGTCATTGCCAGTACTTCACGGGGTTGTGTACTCTCCTCTATCGCCCATGAATACCCATAGTAGCTTGATGTGTTATAGCGATGCGGGTCTGTTTATTGTCAGGTAAAGATACGAGGTTGCTCATAGCTCACGGATGAACACTAAGTATTCCCCGCCTGACTTTGAAGCAATATGTAGAGCAGATAACCATGCGAGATACTCTCCAAGTCCCAAGGGAATAAATCAACAATGAATCCAGTTCAAGCCCAGCATGATTATCTCGACAATATAGTCCCAGAAATTAAGCATTATGGGTTTCATTTGGATTTGACCTTTTATTATTTTATTTTACAGATATTTATTTTTTAAATTAGTCTAACCACACGGCTAGGACACGTGTGGCACGAGAAATATTGCCGCTTTTGCGAAGTAATCTGAACGCTCAGTGGCGGTTGAATAGCCTCGCTGGCTCGTCACGCCGAAGACCCTGTTTCGATTCCCGAAATGGGTACAATGTGTAAAGCCTATTTCCGATGTCCCCCGTCTTGATATTGCTGGAATATTGCTGGAATATTGCTGGAATATTGCTGGAATATTGCTACAACCACACGCTCACACCCTGAACGCTCACTGGTCTAAGAACTCATTTTTTCCTTCAAAAGTTGCAAATGGGACAAAGGAAAAGTGGCAAGTTTTCAGATTACTGAATATATTCAGTCATCTTTATATTATAACCAATATTCCAAAGGTTTCAGTCAACTTGAAATTTCCAGTTGGCCAACATGGGCCATTTTCACATCTCTTCTACCGTGAAGATCCGGGTTAGAATTGATCTTCAGCAACCCATCCTTATCTAAAGAGGCCACTAACGGAATTGGGTGGTCAGACTCGCTGACTTGGTTGATGCATGTCATCGTATCCCAATTGCGTAAATCAATGCTCATGATGTCAATCACAGGACTGTCTGGTCCAGACTCCATTATTTAAAGACTGCCGTCATATAGCTGGAATATTGCTGAGTGCGGCGTTAAACACCAAACTAACAAACGAGAGCTCTTTTCTATCGAAATACGTATCAAATATCTGTATTTGCATCAGTTATAGTAACATTGTATATTGTACTAACCATGTTTATTATTATTTTGCCGTTAACATTTCCTGTGATGTAACGAAAACTGTTTTATGCACATAGCATTGAAATTAGCATTCTGAAGTTGAATACTCGATTTGACCATTTTGTCATAACCAATAAATTATGTTATCCAACAGTGATGCCTCTCGGTATAGTTGCACCTGTCATATATGATCGTGACTATGTTTAAATACGAATACGTATTTCAGGCTGTTGTGACGTATGCATCTACGTACGTGTTGGTGTCGCTGAGTATTGACCGTTACGACGCCGTTGCTCGACCCATGAACTTCTCAAGAAGTGGTGAGTAGAAACAAGTTCTTACAAATACCGTTACTTTACCGGTGAGTGAATGTTGTTTATGCTACTATTCCACACAGGCGACGAATCCCACGAATTGATAAATTTTAGGATTCGTAGTTCAATCGTTATCAGTTCGTGAAATTCTTAACTAATTCGCATATATTCGTAGTTAGTTCTTACAATTCTTGAGCTATCGGGAATTCGTGGCAAAGGTTTTGAGTTGTTCAAAGTTTTGGCCACGAACTCCCGATTCAAAAATATCATAGTTAATTCGTAACAAATTCGTAATGCATTCTTAGGCATCGTAACTGAATCGTAATCGATTCGTAGGCATTCGTAGGTATTCTTAACTCATTCGGGGATTCGTGAATTCGTTGCTTTACGACGAATCGGCTACGAATCTGTCACGAATCCCACGAATACACGCCGAAGCAGGTACGAAGCTCACGATCCAATCACGAATCAGCTACGATTGCCGGCAAATTGGATATATAAGGAAATTAACATTGATTTCAGGTCATAAGCTGCTTCTAGCTATCAGCAGCTGGTGTTGATACTCCAGTTCCAGGGCCAATAATACAGCTGCTCTACGTTGGACATCCATTTTGAAGCTGATGCCCAAGCATGGGTGGGGGGCTTTTTATATCTTGAGGGAAAAACCCAAAAATTGTCAAGAATAGTCACGAATTCATTTTTATTCGTACCTGATTCGTACATGCATTCGGCATATTCTTAACTGATTCGTAACTGATTCCCAACTTTCGTGCAGTATTCGTAATAGCTTCTTGTAAATCGTAGTGAATTCTTGACAATATTCATGCGAATCCAGCCGAATCCCACGAATATTCGTAACTCTATCGTACCTGTATCGTAACTAGATCGTAGAGCGTCACGAATTGAACCAGAATATTTGCTAAATTCCACGAATCCTCGCGAATCCTAAAATTTACAAATCGTGGCGATTCGTGGGATTCGTGCTCTGTGTGGAATAGTAGCATAACGTCGCAGTCAGTTATAGTCAAGCTGAACTACTGGGACCTGTACATAATCAAGACTGAACCGCGCAAACAGTAATTGGACGTAGGAACAACCCCATCTGGGCACGATAACCCGTAGACATCCTAATCAGAGAACCTGACCACCATCAGTAGCCAGTTTCCATTCCTCTTTAGGGGGGCACGGGGGGGGGGCAGTCGTCTACGTCGCCGCGATACGCTATGCAGAGTTGCGTCCCTTTCGCACGCCAGAAACCTATGATTGTGGGTTCGAATCCCGATTCGCCCCGATTATGTTTCTAGGTTTGTCAGTACCATACCTCTGCTCGTGGGTTTCACCGAAGTGGTAAACGTCTGAGACCTGCATCACATCGGCCTTTTCTCCCACATTGATATAACTGGAATGCTGCTAAAAGAGGCGTTAAACCAAACTCACTCACTCACGCATTCCTCTTTTGACCAACATACACACGTAGATATATATGGCTCACCTCAAGCCCGGGACCCATCGGAGTTTTGTATGATATTTTTAAAAAACAACATTGCCACGCGTTGTCGCTTACCACTCCAAGGGGCGGTACGGTAACCTAGTTGTTAAAGCGTTCGCTCGTCACGCCGAAGACCCGGGTTCGATTCCCCACATCGGTACAATGTGTGAAGCCCATTTCTGGCGTCCCCCGCCGTGATTTTGCTAGAATATTGCTAAAACCGGCGTAAAACCATACTCACTCACTCACTCACTCACTCACTAACCACTCCAATGTATACCTTAGTGGACTCTAGGGGTCATTAAAACGATCCAAGTGAATCCTAACGCCAAAGGATTTAATTTGACCAGTCAATAAGCCATGGCTTAAGGTCAATTAAAATGAAAGATAATATTTAATTTGCTGAAAGTTCACATACCACGAATGAATGTCACTGTGTTAGTTATTCATATTTATGACAAAAGTAATGTAAGTACGCGACGATCTAAAAGGGTATTGAAATTGAAAATGGGATTTAAAACCCGGAAACTCTCAGGACTAATCAGAGTGGATGAATCCGTTGTTGGGGTGATAATTAAATTTTTTAATTATGACATTTTTGCATACCTGGTATTGAACAAGACATGAATGGGGTATTCAATATGTCATCTACTCTTTATACAATACCAGATAAAGAGCATCATTATCAGCGGTTCGAGTTAAGGTCATAAAGGGGATAATAACTCTGCCGAAAAGTACCATCAGTCTACGCGTGTCTTCGGAATCAATGACACTTCAATCTAAAACGTATATATAAGTGGACACAATAGTTATTCCATCAAAATGAACTCTGTGTGATTTTTTTGCAAGTATGCTGTAACTTTATACATTATATAACTTCAAAAAATATGTTGATATGATAATGTGACGAAGATCGGGAGAGGGTTGTTACAAGAGTATTTGCACCATCACACGATATCAGTTCAAAATCAGGTCGGTTAACTGAGCTCCCACAGAACGAGTTCGAGCCCCAGTGTGTGTGTGTGTGTGTGTGTGTGTGTGTGTGTGTGTGTGTGTGTGTGTGTGTGTGTGTGTGTGTGTGTGTGTGTGTGTGTGTGTGTGTGTACTAAAAAATGCCGGTTTTATGGTGTAAGCTCACTCAAATACCATGCCCCTTTTTCATATGAATACCCCACTCAGACACAGTATACTACGAGCCGACCAGTCCTCATTTTATTCCATTAATGCCGACGCGTATGATGCGGCCGGGGTTCGAACCCACGACCTTCCGCTCCCCAGGCTTACGCTCTCTCCACGAGCCCACGCATCTGTAGATGCCGTTAATGTATTTAAAAACGACGCCATTTCTTGTTACAGCTGTCTGTTTGCAACTGCACCGACAATGACGACAATCAATTTGTATTGAAACCCACGGGCATGGTGTTGAATGACCGACGATCATAATGGGGATGAATCTTGGATTCGAACCCACAACCAGCGGATCCTGGCACGACAAAGGGACACAAGTTGTTTGTTTCTTTGTTGTTTTATGCCGCGTAAAGGACACATGTAATAGCATTGTTCACATATTCGAACCATATCACTGCATGTGAGAACAGAAATGTACCCTTGTGTTTGAATCAAACCCAGGTCTTGACGTGACGAGCGAACGCTCTATCTACTATGATAAATGGCTGGCTGATTGGGTAATTATGGTTTTACGCCGCTTCTTGCAATATTACAGCAATATCACATCGGGGGACTCAGAAATGAGCTTCACACCATGTACCCATGTGGGTAATCGAACACGGGTCCTCGGTGTGACGAGCGAACGCTTTATCTACTATGCCACACATGATAAATGGCTGGCTGATTGGGTATGGGTTTAAGCCGCTTTTAGCAATATTACAGCTTTATCACAGCGGGGGACTCAGAAATGGGCACCACACCAAGTACCCATGATGGTAATCGAACACGGGTCCTCCGTGTGACGAGCGAACGCTTAAACCAAAGCATCCATGATAAATGGATTCATGTTCTACACGACAATGATGATGAATTTGTTATTAAAGGTCACAGTCAGAAATATTATGTGACTTCATGTAAATAATTAAGTCAAGACCAGACAATCCAGTCTATGACGTCAACATCGTCCTACACTGTTGAGGTAAGATGACACACAATCAACCAAAGCGGCGAGTCTGACCACCCGATCCATTTAGTACGATAAAAACACTATTTGGTTGTCAGGAGATGTTTACCGGTTTCCCCTGAGATTCCAGGGATAAAAGTTCAGATAGAGCAATCATTTTTACAGCACAGAAAAAAATCCTTGATGATTGTTCTTTTAGTTGGAGCTCGCTTCAAGCGTGTTCTCTTTGATTGCCTTTCGACAAGCTATTTCCCCTTCCAGTTAAAGCTGTTGCTTGCCAGGGACCTGACCTTTTCAAATTCGAAATTCAAGTACAGCTTAATATTTGAAAAAAAAAATACAATGAAGGCTCAGCAAGTGGCACAACTGACTTGTTTTGTTGTTGCTGTGGTTAATTTTATTCCGCAAGACCACATTCTAAATATCGTTTATTGCGCCTTTTCATCGACGACCAACCCTGAATTCTTATAAATATTAATGTGGTTAAAGCGTTCGCTCGTCACGCCGAGGACCCGGGTTAAATTCCCGACATGGGTACAATGTGTGAAGCCCATTTCTGGTGTCCCCCGCCGTGATATTGACAGAATATTGCTAAAAGGGGTAAAATCAAACTCACTCACTCGGTCGCAAAGGGAGAAATAGCAGTGAAAAATATATGGAATGGACCCCTAAAATGGATGAATGGACCCCTGAAAATCAGTAATGACGCCTGATTCTACTGTTTATGTTAGTGCGCTCTAATTGCATAACGAAAGGCTCTTTGTTTAGTTTTGTGTCATTGATACATATTTCTTATTTTGTTATGAGTTGAGCTAAAGGTTACCCTATAAGTATGCTTATAAGTGATCAATTCCAATTTCCAAAAATTATGTATATAGCATAACGTCGGACTATATGCCATTTGTGGGACGTTCGAATTCTTCTCCCTCAAGACATCCATTTGGTGCTAAGATGCCTGGTTCTGAGTTCGAACCCCTATTAGGGGCCTTAGTCTGTCCATGTACTGCCCTTTTTGTGTGACCTCATCTATAGTCTAGAGTGGTAGAGCGCCCGCCCGGAAAGAGGAAGGTCCAGGGATGCATGTGGATCCCCGGCCGCGTCATACCAAAACTTAAAACGGTTCTTGCTGTTACCCTGTCTGGCGCTCGGTATTAAGGCCCTAAAACAAGAACGGCTCGGAATCAGTATACTCAGTTGTGTATTAATCTTAAACTGCGACATAGTATATCAGTGAGCCAGCACTACGGAACTAGTACAAGCAACCACACATGCATGCTATATAAATGCAATAATCTTGGACGCGACGTTGAACCCCATTTCACCTCACCTCGCCTTGTTCGTGGGTTACCAAAACAAATCTGACTTTTTTTTCAATGAAATCGAAATGGCAAATAAATGATATGCTTACATATATAAATTCATTTATCTGAAGACACCTCATTTGTTCCCTCTTAAAACATATTTATCTTCTTTGATTAACTCGGCTAACTGATGTTTTCGATGCAGTCTGCAATAACATGACAATCATTGTAATATTTACCGTGGATAATATTGGACGGATCTGGTGTAAATAGCGTCTGGTGTCTTACATTTTTAAACAGATCTTATGATTTATGCGATTCATGAAAATTATATATACTACTCAAAAAGGGTTAAAGAATGCTCAATTCCTTCATATATTCTTATGAATATGAAAGAATCGGGTGCTCCTTAACGTATTTTGAGTAACATATATTTGTTCAGGCTATCTCCATTGTTCCGACCAAATCATCATCACTGTGTTGGGACGAGTGCATTGTTGAATATTCATTCAAGTTGATTATTCTAAAATGCAATAAAAAAAATTCGTCATAATTCCATATAAATTTATTTTTCCAAAACTTCTGGCAGTTTTTTTTGGGTAAAAATGTTGTTATATGACAAATATACTTTCTAACTTCCGTGCCTATTTTCTCAAAAAGAAATTATTATTCCAATCAAAAAAGATTGCATATTTGCCCTGAAACATTCATTATTTGAATAGTTGAGTTTCCTGAGATGTACAAGAATTGACCGTAATAGCCTTTACATTAACTAATGTGAAGGTAACTAATCAATACATATTGCTCGGCCCTATGAGCGTAATACGAATTTCTTTCCGCCAACTTCAAGAACCATTGTTACTTTGGCTTCAAATGATCCTCTTAACGATGGCATCAGTACAGCGGAAGATGCAAGAGATGGAATTGTTTTATATTTACTTTAGAGTTTAGGCCATTGGGGCCAAAGCAGCCTCACGTTAAAACCATTTCCGAAGACCTGCTGTGAAATGCTATTGATTACTGTGATGTTCTCACTGTAGACGCGGCTGATGCATTATTTGACGTGTTGTATTCGTAATGTGTCAAAGGGTTGTTGTTACTTGATAGAATATGAAAAAAATCAGCTTGCATTAAACTCGTACATAGCCTAATGAATATCTGCTCAAGTGGAGATTATTGTTCTTGGTCGACAAGGTCATCAGAAAAAATCCAGAAAAATGATTACTGATGGGCTTCAATTATAATTGGATCCAAATAATGACGTTACAACGCTCTATTAATATGGCGCTATTTCGGAAATAGCTAACATTTGTTTTCTGCTATTGCAACACCAAGGTTCCAGTTACTCTGATATTACTGATTTGGAAGACAAACAAAACACACAAACAAAATAGTTAGGATCAGAATGTTGACTTGTGACGTGAGAGATGACTGTTTAATTTAAGTTCACTATGACGGACATTCTTGAGGGTGCAAACCCCTTTTGGTTACCCGAAGGCCGATCCCTGTTCAGTTGTACACTTAATGCCATGAAATGTATACCGGATGCCAATATTACAATGTTGAAATGCATTTTCCCCGGAATAACTGCGATTATAGTCCTTGTTCGTAATCACCAAGGGTCAAGGTCTGTCACATGACACAGCGTAGAATTAGTGAAAACCTGGGCCCAAGCTCACACAGCACTCCGTGGTCTAGTGGACAGAGGGCCCGCCCGGAGCGTACATTTCTAGATAGTCGATAGTTCGATCCCCGGCCGTGGCATATCAACAGTCGATGAAATATCGTGCTTATTGTTACCCTGCCTGTCGCTCGGCTTTATGGGGATCACACAAGGGCTGGTCGACTTGAGTGAGTGAGTGAGTGAGTTGGGTTTTACGCCGCTTTTAACAGCTGATCGACTTGGAGTAAGTATACTGTGTCTGAGTAGGGTATTTTTTTTTAAACAGCGGCTTTGTATCTCAGTGGGCTAAAATAACACCGGCATTAGTCCAGACGAACGGCCACACACGCACGCACGCATGTGGGCTATCACTATAAAACAAGCATTACTCCGGACTTTTGCATTAACGCATGTGCGCACGCTTACGCAAAGGCACACACACGTGCATTGCCGTTGCTGCATAGGTGCAATAATCTTGAACGCGTCGTTAAACCCCATTTCACTTCCTATCATCAAACTCACAAGATTCACTCTTCCTGAATACTATCTGTTCTGTTGACCCCAGGGGCGGTCGGGTAGCCTAGTGGTTAAAGCGTTCGCTCGTCACGCCGAGGACCCGGGTTCGATTCCCGACATGGGTACAATGTGTGAAGCCCATTTCTGGTGTCCCCCGCCGTGATATTGCTGGAATATTGCTAAAAGCGGCGTAAAACCATACTCACTCACTCACTCACTCTGTCGACCCCATCAGTGTAATACATGCCGTAACAGCACATAACTTACAGGAAATGGCGTTGGGCAATCAAGTGGTTAAAGTGCTTGCTTATCACGTTCGATTCCCCAATGGTGAGGTGAGGTGAAATTGGGTTTAACGTCGCGTCCAAGATTATTGCACTTATATAGCGACGTGCATGCACGTGTATGTGTGTGTGTGGCTGCTTGTACTAGTCCGGACTGATGCCGATTTATAGTGCTAGCTCACTGAGATACCATGTCGCAGTTTAACATGAATACCCCACTCAGACACAGTATACTGACTCCGAGCCGAGCAGTCCTTGTTTTAGCCCCTTAATGCCGAGCGCCAGACAGGGTAACAACAAGTACAATCTTTTAACGTCTTTTTGTATGACGCGGCCCGGGATCGAACCCTGGACCTTCCGCTCTCCGGGCGGACGCTCTACCACAAGACCACGGAGGCGGTCGATTCCCCAATGGATACTTGTGGGTTACGATCCGTGAAGATCTGGGGTAGAATAGGACTTCAGCAACTCATGCTTTCCGTAAAAGGCGACTATGCTTGTTGTAAGAGGCGACTAACAGGATCGGGTGGTCAGGCTCGCTGCCTTGGTTGATGCATGTCATCTATCCCAATTGCGTGGATCGATGCTCATGTTATCAATCACTGGATTGTCTGGTTATTTACAGACCCCCGTCATATAGCTGGAATATTGCTGAGTGCGGCGTTAAACAACAAACAAACAAACAAATAGTATGTTACGTGAAGACGTCTCCGGCTGTGCCCTCGCCGTGATATGGGTTGAGGGCCTTAAGCCGTACATCTGTAAGAGGGCCTTGAGCCGCTACCATTCAGCTGTAGAATTACGACAGTACATCTGTCTCACAGTCCCTGAACCATCATTTTACCTTCCACCCAGCCCTTTCCGTAATGATATGGCCTCATATGAAGCAAGTCTAGATTTTGCTCAGGTTCAGTATATCTCATCTCACTGGGGATCAGGTTTCTAAACATGGAGTTTTATTTTCAGAGACTAAGCGTTTGTCTATTACGACAGGTACGGAGTCACTTAATAAAATTGCATATCACTTGTACATTTCAGCCTATCAAGCACGCATGTTAGTTTCCATGGCATGGTTATTGAGTCTTCTGTTCGCTCTCCCAACAATATTCATCTACTATGAAGAAGTCAAGGAACACAAAAAACAATGCTGGCTGGATTTCCCGCTCTTCTGGCATTGGCAGGTAATGATAATAATCATAATCATAATCATAATAATAATATCGGTCAGTGTGTGATTTTGCATCAAAAGGACCACCCATGGTACAAACCGGAATATGTAGAGGGCGTCATGGAAGATGATAAATACAAAGTCCTTTGGAATAGGCCCATTTACAGCCTCAGACCTATCCAGGCCAACAAACATGACCTTGTCCTTTTTTATAAATCCAATGAAATCATTTATATCCTTGAATGTTTTGTCCCTTTTGACACTAATGTGATTGACAAGATTCAGGAAAAACATGGCAAATATGCAAAAATCGCTTTCGAAATGTCACGCTTCTATCCCAAGTACCAAGTACCAAGTTGTCCGACTCCCCATAGTCTTCGGTGCCTTAGGTTTGGTACCTCCCAATCTGTTGAATGACATCGGGAGAGTACCCGGGTTTGCTACCAGGAATGCAGCCCTTCTGACAATCTGGGTAATGCAGAAGGCTGCAGTGTTGGGGAATCTTCACATTCTCCGAAAATTTCTGGGTGGGTTTGACTTGGCAGCGCTTCCTGGGAGAAGTCTCATTCGCTGTCTGGGCTGCGTGTAGAGGGGGCTGATGATGGGCCTAACCAGCCACGATCACCCAACCCCCCTTTGCTGCATTTTTTATTTTAATCTGTAAATAATAATAATAAAAATAATTACAATAATAATATTAACGTTTTATGGGGATACTTATAGAAATTTTGAGAAACTCAAATGCACTTCGTGAATTTGTGTGTTTTGAAATTAAACTAAACATGCGCTGTTCTTATATGTATTCCATGTTTCATGATATCACTAATTCATTTATTGACGTCACTCAATGGTTAATTTATATTATACATTCATAACAGTAAATAACTATGTCTTGATTTTTCAAATTCGATGCTTAGATATCAATTAATGGATTTGACATCAAATGCATTCAATAAATAGTCACTTTTAGGTGTTACCGTTAAAACGGGATATTTTATTGTGTGATATATTATAAAGAATGACATCTCCAAATAATCAGTCACATTCCTTATATAAAAAAAATAGGACTATCCCTATTGAACCTTGGGAAGTATATATTGATCACAGCTAACGCTGTCATCAGTCTTCGTTAGAGATAATGTGTCATATGTTTTAATTTCCCCGTCATCCCCCGATCTGACAGCGTGTATGTTTCTGCTGATCACGTTGTTGGGGATGATGATGCCACTGGAGATGCAAATAATATGTGGACAGCAGACCTGCCACGCGTAATTAATGCATGTTTAGATGTATCAACTTTAAATTATATCCGAGCAGCCATAATATGTTCTCGTCACGATTTGGCTGAAATTCTGCTAATGTGAATTTGAACTCTAACACATGCTATGCTGCACCACAAGTTTACATTCCAATCACGGTAGCGGGAAAGTAGTTGCAAATTCATTGCAAACCCAAGTCTTCACTTCACACAAAATGTCCAACCATAGATTACTCCGTACAAAGTGTTTCGGGAATGAGTGATGATTAAATAGACATAATCGAATTTAACAACAGTTCTTTTTATTTCCAATTACAGTAAACTACGGTTATAACGAACTCGAAGGGACCACTAGCTTTAGTTTGTTGTAACCGTAGTTCGTTATAAGCATATATACAGCTTAGCAAATAGTCGGGACAAAAAAATCAGTTCGTTATATCCGTCATTTCGTTATAAGCGTGTTCGTTATAAACGTACTCTACTGTACATGGAAACTAAACTCGGTATTCTGTCTTTAACCCCTCACTGTACACGAGGCTGTGAATTGCACACAACGTGTCTTGTTAAAAATGTCCGTTTGCGTGTAATGAGGGTATTTCACTTTCATTGTTACTATTTGTTCATCTGGGAAAACTAACCTGAGGCTTGTATCATATTATATAACCTATAGTAAACTACGGTTATAACGAACTCGAAGAGACCTCTAGCTTTAGTTTGTTATAAACGTAGTTCGTTATAAGCATATATACAGCATAACTATAGCAAATAGTCGGGACAAAAAAATCCGTCAGTTCGTTATAAGCGTGTTCGTTATAAACGTACTTTTCTGTATATAACCAAATCTTCTAACCGTAGTATTATTTGTTACAGTTATTTGTAACGCTGGTTGCCATCGTAACGTTCATCCTACCTGCTCTGATCATTGCCGCATGTTACGTTGCCATCATCTTCATCATCTGGACCAAAGGTCAAGACAGCGTCGACGTTCCAGAACAGAGGAACCTCACGGATAAAGACTGTATGTGTTGCGCGATGGCGCTAATGACTTTATGTGACATATATTGTTTGTTTGTTTGTTTGTTTGTTTGTTTGTTGTTAAACGCCGCATTCAGCAATATTCAAGCTAGATGACGACGGTCTGTAAATAATCAAGTCTGGACGAGACAATCCATTGGCTGACATCATGAGCATCGATCAACGCAATCGGGATATGATAACATGTATCAACCAAGTCAGCGAGCCTGACCAACCGATCCCGCTAGTCGCCTCTAACGACAAGCATGGGTTGCTGTAGACCTATCTATTCTTCCCCGGATCTTCACGGGTCGCTTAATTTATAACTAAGGTGCTGCTCCGTGGTTTGCCAACGAAACAAAAACGCAAATGTAAGATCGTACATAGCATACCGAATGCATTGAAAAAGCGTTACATTATCACTGATAATTATGTAAATATATATTGCCAATGCAAGCGAAGAACCAGTCTAGATTATCCACCGAAACAGATTCCATTTGGCGTAAAGGGCAATACTGCTGTGAAAATTATATAAATGTACCACTGAAAATCGGGACACCAGTGTTCGCGAAAAGGGTAAGCATGTCCTGCCCTACCCGCAATTCACACAATCTGCATAAAAAAACAAGTATTTATTGCCTGAGGCTGCACAACAGTTCTCCTGTCATGCGTTTTGAAATATCGTATATGGATTACCGATTGTTATTGATATTGATATCAATGTTTCCATATTGGTGTATGGGGGCTCGTTGATCAATGCGCATCCGTGGGTCTTGGTTCGAATCCCGTTCCGCAACGATTGTGATTATTGGTCAGCTTCATGTATGTTTGGTGCACTAAAGTCGACCTGCGTCACTGTCCCTGATTATGGTGACACATTGTGATAAATCAGATGCACTGTTCAGCGGTGTTAAACCCAACTCACTCACTCCGCTTCCAGATGAAAGTGTCAGGAGCGAACGCCCCCGTGTGACTCTGCAGTGCAACAGGATGAATGCCGGCCGAGGCGTCATCCCACAGGCTAAGATCAGGACTATCAAGATGACGCTCATCATTGTCATAGGTTGGTCATACTTTCTACCCTTTACTATACAATGTATGCTGAGTATAAGAGTGCTTATTGTAGAATGTGGATGGCCTGTTCATATATATGCTCTCAATACGCACTCCCTCACTTCTTGTTAAGATTGAAAATATATTACACATTCACTTACTCTTTCTTAACCTTGAAAATGTATTACACACTCACTAACTCTTTGTTAGCATTGAAAATGTAATACACACTCACTAACTCTTTGTTAACATTGTAAATGTAACACACACTCACTAACTCTTTGTAAACATTGAAAATGTAATATACACTCACTTACTCTTTGTTGTTAGAATTGAAAATGTAATACACACTCACTTACTGTTTGTTAACATTAAACATGTAACACACACTCACTAACTCTTTGTTAACATTGAAAATGTAATATACACTCACTTACTCTTTGTTGTTAGAATTGAAAATGTAATACACACTCACTTACTCTTTGTTAACATTAAAAATGTAACACACACTCACTAACTCTTTGTTAACATTTAAAATGTAATATACACTCACTTACTCTTTGTTGTTAGAATTGAAAATGTAATACACACTCACTTACTCTTTGTTGTTAGAATTGAAAATGTAATATACACTCACTTACTCTTTGTTGTTAGAATTGAAAATGTAACACACACTCACTAACTCATTGTTAGCATTGAAAAGGCAACATACATTCACTTACTCTTTGTTAACATTGAAAATGTAACACACACTCACTTACTCTTTGTTAACATTGAAGATGTAATATACACTCACTAACTCTTTTTTAACATTGAAAATGTAATATACACTCACTAACTCTTTTTTAACATTGAAAATGTAACACACACTCACTAACTCTTTGTTAACATTGAAAATGTAATATACACTCACTAACTCTTTGTTGTTAGAAGGGGCGGTCGGGTAGCCTAGTGGTTAAAGCGCTCGCTCGTCACGCCGAAGACCCGGTTTCGATTCCCGACATGGTTACAATGTGTGAAGTACATTTCTGGTGTTCCCCGCCGTGATATTGCTGGGATATTGCTAAAAGCGGCGTAAAACCATACTCACTCACTCACTTTGTTTGTTAGAATTGAAAATGTAATACACACTCACTAACTCTTTGTTAACATTGAAAATGTAACACACACTCACTAACTCTTTGTTAACATTGTAAATGTAACACACACTCACTTACTCTTTGTTAACATTGAAAGTGTAACGCACATTAACTAACTCTTTGTTAACATTGAAAATGTAAAATACACTCACTAACTCTTTGTTAACATTGAGTATGCTATACACACTCACAAACACTTTGTTAGCATTGACAATGTAAGACACACTCGCTTACTCATTGCCTCACTCGGTGGATCGCCTCCGTGGTCGAGTGGTAGAGCGTCCGCCCGGAGAGCGGAGGTACGGGTTTCGATCCCCGGCCGCGTCATACCAAAAGACGTTAAAAGATGGTACTTGTTGTTGCCCTGGCTGGCGCTCGTCATTAAAGGGCTATAGCAAGGACTGGTTGGCTCGGAGTCAGTATACTGTGTCTCAGTGGGGTATTCATGTTAAACTGCGGCATGGTATCTCAGTGAGCTAGCACTATAAATCGGCATCAGTCCGGACAAGTACAAGCAGCCACACACACACACACACACACACACACACACACACACACACACACACACACACACACACACACACACACACGTGCATGCACGTCTCTATATAAGTGGAATAATCTTGGACGCGACGTTAAACCCAATTTCACCTCACCTCACCTCACCTCACCTCACCTCACCTCACCTCACCTCACTGTTTCAGTGTTTATTCTGTGCTGGAGTCCCTACTTCGTTTACAACATCCTGGAGTTGTATGGCCACATCCCGTCCAACGACGCCCTCAGTACATTCATACAGAGTGCAGCCCCCTTAAACAGCGCCGCCAACCCCATCATATACGGCATATTCAGTACTAGGATATGCAGAAACCTCAGGTGAGCCCACAGTTAAAGGCAAGGCTGTCAGTCACAATCGTTAAGCATTAGAGGTGAAAGATTCAAACTAATTTATTTTTTCAAACCCACCCACGGTGATGCAAGAATACTGTATATAATCAACATGAGATAAATAGACACAGAACGATTTTAGAAATTATATTCATACATTGCATGTTGAAATTAGCATCATGATGGTGGGGTTTAGAACTCATTCATCAGTATATTGGTAAATTTACAAATTGAATGTTTTCTCAAGCGTTTAGTCTTGTTGTTGGAAAACAGTTTTGTAAACATTTGGGTATTATAATAAAATATTATTCAGTGATGTATATAGATCTGTTAAGAGCAAAGAATTCACATTTAAATAAATAGATGTATGTTTGTTAAATAAGAGGTATTTTTCAAAGAAGAGATCAGGTTATATACTTAGGTATATGTAAAATATCGTTTCGACCAGATATGATATTTCATCACAATTCTAGAAGAAACTAGTCCTATGAATAATTTTGAATATGGTTAGTGAGCAAGTTAGTCGTGACTAAGTAAGGATTTTCCAACACATAAATCACAAGAGTTTAATATATTAATTATATATTCTAACTACTTGTTATGATTTCCATAGTGTTTTAAATCGTAATAAAACATAATAACAAAGTATGTTGCTATTTATTCCAGAAGATTATAATTCTCTTACATACGTATTTTTGTAAGTTCTCAATGATTTTTCATATTCACATATTTCGAAGCCATATAGGAATATTGGTATAACCAATACATCGAATTCTGAAAACAAACAGCCAGGTGGAAGATTTCTTTTTCTTGCTTTTTTTTTTAGAGTGAAGCTTGTAAATCATTTTCTCACAAACCTTGATTTCACTCAGTAGACGCTGGATTATGTGAAGCTTAATTCCCATGTAATTGTAATGACCAACAAATTCAAATTCATTTTCTCCATCAACAAAATGTTACCTTCAGAAGCCCCACACCCAAATATACATATTTATACTTATTACTTTTGACAGATAATTTCCGTTTAATACAGTAATTATACATAGTGTTGATGGAACGGTATTATCATCAACTTGTGAACGGCAGCAGTTACATTTTGCTTCATCTAGGAATGTCTCAAGATCATTTAGATAAATTGAGTAATGAAATAGGGATAAATGTTGCCCTTGTCGTACACCAGCAGCTCGAAAGGGATCTGATATCTTACCATGAACCATAACACATGATCTTATCTGTGAATACATGTTGTTTACGAGTGTTCAAAAAACTACCTTTAATATAGTTTTGAAGCAGTTTTCCATAGTTTTCCCCGAGATTATAAAGGCTTTGTGAAGTTAAAAAAAAGTGCAGTATAGTTTTCCTCAGTTTTTTCATTGAGTGCATCAGCGTATTAATAATAGAAAATATTATCGATGGTTGATACTTATTTTCTTAAGTCTACTTTATCAAGTCTATGATCAAGTATGGATCAAGGGCATCACCATTCATCGGTTCAGCTAGGACTTCTGGCCATGATTCTGGAATTATACCAGTCGATAAAACAAGGTTAAAGGACAATGTCATGCCAATAAACTATCAGATTCGATCAAATAGTCATTGTCAATACAATCAATCCCTGCCGCTTTGTTGCGTTTTAGTAGTTGTATAGCCAACTGCAATTCTTCAACCTTAATGTCGTTGTTGGGAACATCATTATTATACGAACTATAATGAGCACAAGACGGCTTCATTGTCGGTGACATGATTATCAGATTAGGGTTTCTACAAATATAAATAACATCACGATCAATTTCTTTATCGTGAGCTTGGGGATCAAGAATTTTCGGAAATCCCCTAATTTTAGTTCATCCTAGATACGCTTGTCAACACTATTGTAGATTAGTATGTTTTTGTTCGGGGATTGAAATCACCAATTACAATTACCTTTTCGGATAGGAAAAACACGTCAATTAATGAACACTCTAATTTGAAAAAAACGTTTCCCGAGAAACGTATTTAGAACCTTCTGAGGCAAATAGTCCACACCAAGGTAAATCAACTCTTTTGCAATCCTAAGCCATGAAATATATTGAGAAAGGAAACCATTAGCATAATTCGTCTTTCCCAGCCAACCCAATACCATCTGAACCTATGGAGATTGCTTATCAGGGTTAACAATGAAACGTGTCATTTTATACTTAAAATACCTCAACTACATGTTATACAATAAACGTAAACACATTTCTATCACATACGAAGAATAGACATATAATTACGCTATATACACTACTCAAAATAAGTCAAAGAACAACCGATGTTTTCACATAACTATAGTAACCTGCCTGGAGTTGTTTTACTTGTTTTGAGTGGTATATATGGAGATTAGATTTTCTCTCTAGATGAGAACCCCTTGGTAGTCGGGGCCGGTCTGACGGCAGTTCCCAATGCTTATCTTAGTGCCTGCGTTAGTGTGTATGGTTTTACGCCGCTTTTAGCAATATCCCAGCGACACCAAGAAGGTAACACCGGACATGGGCTTCACACATTGTATCTCTGTGGGGAATGCTTATCTTTAATCAATCAATGTTTTTTTCAGTATGAAGGCCATAGCCCCATGCACAAAAAAATATTTACGAGTTTGGTAGTGGCAATATACATAATTTTAAACATTGTTTTACAAATACTTTCTTCTTTCATACGCATGATAAATAAACAGGCACAGTGATTTTAGTTGTTCTATATCGTTTGTGGCAATTATCTTTTTAAAAGGATGTATAACATCACCAGTAGCACATACAAGTAAAAACATATTTCCATCCGCCATACCTCGATCATATTAAGGACAGTTTCTCATACATATATCGATTTTTTTGCCACCTACCTGCATTATTTCTCAACCGTAACAGTCCCCCTCTAAACTTCACAAAAATATTTCGAAGTTTATTACTTTTATGTTATCTACAAATGCCATATCTTGAACTGTTATTCATAGTAGATATCCAGATTTGATGAAACATATTAATAGCACAATCCTTCAACTAACTTAAAAAATATTTATTATCTGTTTGTGACAGCCAAAGAAAACCCAAACCAAGAGACCATAGTAGATATCTAATATTTGACTTTTTATACGCTTTATACCCGACATCAAGTACATAAAGTAACATTTTGTACGCTTTTGCGGGGAGGCGGTCTCCATGCATTGATAACATTTTACACCAGTTTCCAACTCAACGAACAAGTGAGTTGATATACATTGGGTATCGGCCAATTTCACCATTAACAAAAGCATCAGGTGTTTGTGGTCCAAATTGTAAGCCAGATTTTCTCTTCACTCTCAAATCCATTGATTCCCCAAATTTCTAAAACTTCTCCTCTATAATATCACACTTCTTTAGCTGATATGTTTTCTCCTCTTCTGAAACAACAAGATTAGATTTGTGCAAGTTAGGAGTCATTTCCCACTCATCTGCATATGAATCTAGAATATTTATTTGACGCTGTAAACCATAGTATCAGACACCATTATTACATCGTCAGCTACTACATCTGGAAAGTGTTGAATCCCATGAGTTCCATAACATCTGTAGCTAATTCATTAATAAATAATGAGAAGAACATAGGGCTCAGCATACATCCTTGTCTTAAAGCCAAATGGACAACCTACATAATCTGTGAACTCTGTATTACATCTAACACATGTTATAACAGATCGGTATACACTTTGTTAAGCCCTTACTTACTTACTTATATTGGAGATTTAACGTGCAAGCAGCAAGCCTATGCCGCACACGGGGTTTGTTAAGCCCTCAGCATTATATCATTTATGCCATAGGAAGACAATAAATTCCATAGCTTTGCTTGATTTACATAATCAAAAGACTTTTTAAAATCATCAAAAGCTACATACCGTTTCTCCTCCTCACAGAGACAGTTTTTAACAATTGCGCATAAGGTAAAAATATGATCCATAGTCGAGTAACCTTGGCGAAAACCTCCTTGCTTTTTCGAAACTTTACTCATAACACCTGCCTATTTTGTAAGTCTGTCATTTAATACACACGTATAAATCTTTCCTTGCGAACTTAGTCATGACATTCTTCTGTAATTATCGGGATAATGTGTGTCACCTTTTTTATGCAACGGGATAATGATTGCCTTAGTCCATAAGTCCGGAAAACACCCACTGTTAAATATCTTGTTGAACAAAGAAAGTAGGAAGGGAATTATAAATGGTTCCGAAGACTTAATCATTTCAATGAGCACATTTTCAGTTCCAGGTGATTTTCCATTTTTTTAATTGCGTAATAGCGTTATGTATTTCTTCGCTGGCTCTCACGTTTCCAATATCTACAGGTACTCTTTAATTTGTTTCTCAACTAAATATTGCAATCTGCTTGTAGTTCTCTTGCAATTTTTGAAATGTATCAAACTACCTATAGCTTCCCTCTTAGTTTTGTGACAATCCGGTCCATAAAAATCAAACTTTTTGGGATTAATAACAACATTCTTTTCTAACATTCCGCTGATACAACTAACAAACATTTCTCAGGCTTCGTTAACATCTCTTTCTATAACATTTATAAGGTCTGTTTTAGGGCAATCATGTTGGTTATAAAAGTGTCAGCATGCGACGTATTCCCTCCATACATGTACTCGACAGGACACGGAATATGTTTACTGGTTAAGAGCCAACTAAAATGAGGTCAAAATGTGTATTATGACAACCCGAAGGTACGGGACGCTCATGCTATCAACAACCGGTTTGCCTGGTGTTGTTTTAAAGGCGCTTGATGTGGCTGGACTATTACAGACTGCGGCGTAAAACAACACTTCCCGTATCACCCCAGATGATAGTACTGTGAATTCACTTGGTTTTTGTATTCAGTGTTGGGGGCACGGGTGGCCCAGTCGCCATTTGCTGTGCCGAGTAAGACGTTTATGATTGCGGGCTCGATTTCCGGTTCGCCCCCATAATGTTTCTAGGTTTGTCAGCATCATACCCGTGC